AGGGTGAAAAAGCTTACAGGAAGGGAGTTTGTGTTTTCCTGTTGTCATATGGGCACGGCATTTTCTAGGGTGGTCAAAGTTGCACATCCCATCTGTTTTTCCAGATTTACCATGACTGCAGATACCAAGTGCATATTATGTGCATAGGCTTGGTTTCTGTTTGCCTTGGGTTTCTGTGACTGTATTCCCTGTTGGTGCATGTTTACCTGTCTCATTCCTATCCTCACTAGTACTAACAATGGAGCTCTCACCAGCTGTTTCTGGTAATATAACCTCACTATTGCTAGTAGAGTCCCCTTGTTTGCTATCTCCTGTGGTATTACCAGTTTGTAGTATAGGTTTTATCATCGGACTGGTGGTATTGGTGGTCGGGGGGTGGGGGGGGGCTTTTGCAACTACCTCCTACTGTTTTCAAGAAAAGTGCTCAGAAGAGGTGTTTTGTCTCTGCACATACCACAAAATGCCCACAAAAATGCAGAGATGCTCATTTTATGTGTGAGGAGTGTAAAACTCCACTGTGCATAACACTGTGTTTCAAAGACTTACACAAGCTGCAGCAGTTCTAGGAAAGGTGTTCAGTGACTACATTTGTATATATATTAAAGAACAATAGTAATAAACAATTTTTTGTATTGTTGGTCTGTGTAAACAAGTTTTGTAAACAATATTATAATGATAATATTTGTGCAGTTACAGTGTTGTATACAATGAGTGTATATTTATACATTGCACCTTACTTGGGTCTCACAGGCCACATAAGTAACTTAGAAGAAAAAATATTGGAAAATACAAGAAACCTTCGAATTGGAGTAAATAAAAGTATACCGGGTGAGCGGCATTCACCGCTGTTGCCATATGTTGTTCATTTTCTGCCAACTTTACAGCCTCTATTTCTTGGTAAGTACTGATCACAAAATTTTTTTTTAGTCTTAAAACACTCAGCAAAATAATCCTAACATTTTGGTAAGAAAAAATTATTTTTTTTATTTTTCGAATATTTTTTGACATAAAATGACCGTTTCAAAAATGGGCTTGCAAAAGTCAAAGGGTTACTAATTGTAACAAGAGGAAAATGGCAAAATAACAACTTACAAACAACTCAAGACACGAACAGCCTTCTGGAACATAACTTGTTCATAAGTTTGGGGGGGGGGGATCTGTACAGTACACTACTGTACAAATATTTAACCCGTTAACTGTCCAAACGTAGATCTACGTTTTTACTGCCAGCGCTCCGAACGTAGATCTAAGTTTTATTTTCCCTGGTTTCAAATTTGGCGCAATAGGCCAGAGCGACCTAGACATGGGAGAATGGGTCTGTGCACTCAGTGTGCGCCATATGAAAGAAATTGGGGACCCTGCAGTATCGCATGGTAGCACCAGTTACATTCAGCTCCATCTTGGGTCAACATCATGGCAAACCCTCGTGATTCACTCACACCTCATTGTATTAACACTCTCTTATTCGAGGACAGTGATATACAACGCGAGTTTAGTGGATTTGACACCAATATAAGAACATAAGAATGAAGGAGCACTGCAACAGACCTACTGACCCATGTGAAGCAGGTCCATGCCATCCCCCGGCCTAGAACAATGACAATATGGCCACTAATCATCAAGGAATTAGTAAAAATACTGATGATAACCCTGATGACCCTCGGCCCATCACCTCTGGGGTGGCCAGTGTGGCCATGCCAGACCCTCAGCTAAGCACTTCTGTGGTGGCCAGTGTGACCACACAAGACCCTGGGCCAAGCACCTCTGGAGTGGCCAGTACTACCCATAGGCAACTACGCAAGAAGAAACTATCCTTTTCCTGCTGTTTTAATGACAGTGAAAATGATGTAAGTGACGGTGAAATTGATCTTATGCCATTAGAGGATTCATCTAGTGACAGTGATATTCATTTTTCACCAGTGAAGTGTAGTTTTAACCCCTTTGATGATGTCATCCCACAGCTGATTTTTACACGAGGGGAAGGGGGGAGGGTTAGGTCTGTATCACCTGAAATCAACTTTTCACAACTTAGAAATTCTACTCTAAGAAATTCTGTCTGTTCCTACAGACCTCATGTGTGTGTTTTTTTTTTTTTTAACCAGCCTGGTCACAGACCGGGCCGCAGGGGTGTTGACCCATAGGTAATTCAAGTTTTCTCAGACATATCGCACTACCCTTTACAGTAAAACTCCAGTTTTTGTCTGGTCTGAATATCATACAATTTGGATTTCGGCCACTCTTTTCAGTGTATTTTTACTCCAGGTTTCGTGCATCGACTCGGAAATCGTCCGTATCAGACGCAGCTGCCCACCTGGGACGGCACCGCCTGACTCTGTCTGCCTTTGTCACTTGTCAAGTGAACAATACTCCGAGCATTCATCCAGTGTTTTTGGTGCATGTTTATTGAGTGCAACCTGTGAAATAAGCCACCATAGGGGCCGAAGAAAGTTCAGAGTGCCAGCCCTTTGGTAAAGAAGGTGAGAAACACGATAGAGTTCAAGAAAGAGCTTGTATCAAAATACGAAAGTGGCTTAAGTGAGGCTGAGCTCACCAGGATGTATTGGAAGTCCAAATCAACAAAATAAACTGCCATGTAAGTGCCTCCTGATAATGGACAATGCTCCTGCTCATCCTCTAGACTTGGAAAACCAATTGCTTGAGGAGTTTAGTTTCATCACAGTGAAGTTCTTTCTCCCTAATACCATTCCTCTCATCCAGCCCATGGACCAGCAGGTCATTTCAAACTTAAAAAAACTCTACACCTAAGCAATGTTTCAAAAGTGATTTGAAGTGACCTCAGACACTGAACTGACCCTAAGAGAGTTCTGGAGGACTCACTTCAATATCCTCCATTGCATATGACTTACAAATAAGGTTTGGCAGGAAGTGACTTCCAGGACTTTGAACTCTACTAGGAGAAAATTGTGACCAGAACGTGTCCAAGAGAAGGATTATGAAGGGTTTGAGGCTGACCCTGACGACCCTACGCCTGTTGTGGAATCTACTGCATCTTTGGGGAAGTCCATGGGGTTGGATGTGAGTGGCCAGGATGTGGAAGAGTTGATGGAGGACCAAAGGAAAGAGCTAACCAGTGAAGTGCTGCAAGACCTTCAACTGGAACAGATTGCAGCTGAGGAAATTGCTTCAGAGGAAGAGGAGGAAGAGAGAGGGGAGAGTGTGACTTCAGTGATTAAGGACATGTGTGCAAAGTGGTGTGAGTTGTAAAGTTTTGCAGATAATTTTCACCCTAACAAAACTGCTGCAAGCCGTGCCTGCAACATGTTCAATGACAATGTCTTGTCCCATTTTAGGCAAATCTTAAAGAGATGCCAGATAAAGGCCTCTCTAGACAGATTTTTTTGTGTGACAGGGGTGCAGAGACTCAAGCTGGTCCTAGTGCCAGTAAAAGACAAAGAAGGGAAGTCATCCCAGATAAGGCTTTGATATCTCAAGTCCTTATGGAGGTGGATTTCCCTTCCAAACAATAGCCTCTCCTCTCTCTCCCCTCCTCGCCTTCTTCCATACGCCAACAAGAGTCTTCAATAAAAGAATGTAATATTAACTTAAATGTTCATTTATCCATTAAAATTAGTGCTTTACATTTATTTCTCATTGTTTTCCGTATGTAAATTATAGTTATTCTCTATAAGATGTATCTTTTGTTAATATTTTTGGGTGTCTGGAATGGATTAATTGGACTTACATTACTTCTTATTGGAAATGTTACTTCAGTTTTCGTCAATTACGGATTTCAACCAACCTTCTGGAACGGATTAAGGACGAAAACTAGGGTGCCACTGTATATCTATCAGTGTGGAAAAACTTAAACTATTGAATGTGATACAAAGCAGGCATGTCCCATCTTCAAACACATCTCATTGAAAAGCATCTGTTTTCTGCACATGCAACCAAGCTAACTCATCCTGTGTCTAGCTCTATGACTGTTTAACACTCTACTATATTGTATATATTAACAAATTTTTTCTTCTGTATCTCCTCCCTATTCATCTTTGACTTTCCTCTATTTCTCTTATAATCATTACACGATGCTTCTAAATGGATTTCCTTTCCATCACCTTGCTTGATATTAAACAGTTAAATTTTACCCCTTGGTAAATGTCACAATATTATCTTTTGCTGTCAATGTGTGTAATACCTTAACCCTTAAACTGTCCAAGCAAATTTACGTTCACATGCGTAGTGCTCCAAAAGTAGATCTACGTTTTTTTACATATTTTCAAATGTAAAAAAAAGAAAAGAAGATCTACTTTTTTACATACTTTCAAATTTTGAAAAAAACATAGATCTACATTTGGACAGTTTAAGGGTTAATTCCATCTTTTCCCACAAACACCCATACCTCTGATTGTTTTTCAATTTAAAGAATCAAGTTGTTAAAGACAGCTGATATGTGGTTACACAAGTAAAAGAAAATAAGTATTCCACTAGAAAACAAGACAGGGAAAATGGCACTGAACAATAATGGGTAGAGAGGTCCAAAGGGTGGCATTTCTGGTGCTCAGGCACATTTCTTTTCCCATAAATGAGCCCTACATAGTAAGCAGTTTTTTTATTATTCAAAGTGTTATAGTGTATGTATAGATAATCTACAGCTTCAAAAACCCATATATGCATGATTAACTGAAAGTTTGCTACTGTATCAAACACAAAATTAAAAGACCTTTAATTTCAGAATTTTTTAACATCAGGTAAAACAAACTTAAATAACTACATTCAATTTAAACTAAATATACAGTGGTACCCTGAGTTTTGTATAGTTCCCAACTCAAACAATTATGTAAATGTATTATTTTAAGTGCTTTTGTAAGTGTATTTTTGGGGGGTCTGAAACTGACTAATCTAATTTACATTATTCCTTATGGGAACAAATTTGTTTGGTAACAGCACTCGAAAAGCCCTCTGGAATGAATTATGGCCGAAGCTCGAGGTACCACTGTATGCAGTTTATATTCTACCGAACTGAAAAGATAATTACTAACCTGGTGACCACGATCCAGGAAGTGCAGACACTTGTCAAATGTAACTTTATCCATGTCCTCAAGTTGCTTGAACTTACCCATAGCTTTCACTCCAATAAAAGACAGGCCTAGTGGTACTGGACGGAATCGCCTAAAGAAATCAAATGTAATAAATACACTGGACTGAATAAAGTAAAAATTAACAAAATTAATTTGTAATTAGAAATCTAATGATATGAATACCTAACATGAGGCTTAGCAGAAATGGTACAGTAGTCCCTACAGATTCAAGATTTTCATTCCAAGAGCACCCCAGAAAACTAGAAACTGTAATTTATGCATAATTAAGCATTCATAATGTACGAAAGTATTGTGGTGCCAACGCTCTTATATGGGTGTGAAGAATGGGTTGTGAATGCTGCATCAAGGAGGCTGGAGGCAGTGGAGATGTCATGTCTGAGGGCAATGTGTGGTGTGAGTATTATGCAGTAATTTCATAGCAGGGAGATTAGGAGGTGGTGCAGGATTACTAAAAGTATTATCCAGAGAGCTGAGATGGGGTTTGTTGAAGTGGTTCAAACATTTAGAGAAGACAGAACAATATATCTGTAGTAGAGAGAAGGCAAGGTAGGGGCCGTCCTAGGAAAGGTTCTAGGGTGGGGGTAAAGGAGGTAGAATTTAGTTGAAGCAGGAGGTTTTCATGACTTGACATGCTGTTGGAGTGTTAGCCAAGTAACACTTATGAAGGGATTCAGGGAAATTGGTTAGCCCAACTTGAGTCCTGGAGATGGGTAGTACAGTGCCTGCACTCTGAAAGAGGGGTGGGGATACTTTAAGTTTTGAACTGTAGTATCAGCAGCCCACTGGCAAGACAGTGATCAGTGAGTGATAGTGAAAGTGTTTCTTCTATTTTGGGGCACCCTGCCTCAGTGGGAAACAGCAAGTGTGCTCAAAAAGAAAAAAAAAATGGGGTTCACTTTGTGATTCAATAACCATATCTCTAATGAATCGCTAATCTACCATAGTTAATATTGATATTCATAGAATAACCATAATAGAAGATCTGAGCATGGGAAAACCTGGAACCAGAAAAAGTTGCATTTAACTTATTCACTGGTTGCCACCTAGTAAAAACATGGGATAGTTGAAATTTACGAATACAGGGCCTGCAAATTGGTAGGAACTACTCTAACCATTAACCCCTTAACTGTCCAAACAATGATCTACGTTCTTACTTCTAGTGCTCCAAACATAGATCAATGTTTTATTTTTCCTACCTCCAAATTTGGCACGATAAGCCTCATAGGCCTAGGTAGTAAAGAACACTTAGTGTTTGCAGTATTAAAAAATTTAGGACCCCTTAGTACCTTGTGGAAGCACCAGTTCAATTGAGCGCCAGCTAGAGCAAACAGTGTGGCAAACACCAGGGATTCACTAATGCCATGTTGTATTAACACTCCCCTTTTATGAGGAAAGTGATGCTGACCCTGAGTTTAGTGGGCTTGAGATGGATGTGGCCACAAGTGGTCGAGGAAACATCAAAAACCTCGATAATAATCCATGTGCAACATTTGTGCCACATCCTTTCAATTTTGATATCACTGGTAGTGTCATCCTGCCAGACTGTCCAATAACCTATGCCCTACGTAAAGAGAACTGATTCTGGAACATGTGTAATACGTGTTCGGAAAGCTGGTCAACTGGCTAGCTGGCTCTATCTCAGTCTCTATCTCTGTCTGCCTATCTCTGTCCCAGAGTGAGCCACTCATAAACCAGAATCAAGGACTAAGCTTATTTAGGTACAGATACACATAAGTACAGTTATCATACATTCTGTAAATTACCTAGGATAACCCAAAAAAGCCAGGCAAAGTCCTATATACTGCGCTTATAGATGTAAGGCATAAGCATGATTGTGGCAAGTACAGTGGGCCCCCACGTTTCGGTGGCCATGACTTTCGAGAAACCCGACTTTCGGCAACTTTTTTCGACAAAATTTAGCCTCACGGTTCGTGACTGGCCTTGTGATTCGGCGACAGTCTGCTATGTATCCGAGCAGCATCCCAGTGTCAGCGCACACACATAGCCAGCCTCCCGCACTATTCACACTCAGTGTGCCATTGTTTATCAGCGAATGACCATCACCCCACGGGTTCATACGATATATTTCATAATACGTAATCCATTGTTTTTTGTGCTTGCAACTGCTAAATAATCCACCATGGGCCCAAAGAAAGCTCCTAGTGCCAGGCCTTTGGTAAAGAAGGAAAGAAACACAACAGAATTCAGGAAAAAACTCGTAGCAAAGTAGAGGAGGAAGAGAGAGGGGAAATGTGCCTTCTTCAGTGATTCAGTGATTCTGTGATATGTATGATACTAAAGCAGCAGGCATCGATAAAAGCTATAATGCCAGCCAGCAATAAAGTGTAGCATTAACAGTGTAGCAAGTAAGTTAAGCGATTAGGCGATAGAAAAACGACACGAAAGTAACTCTCCAATGTTGTTGGAGTATAGAGCCACTGAACATATGCCGCCTTGCTATCTTCCACCACCCAAAACCTCTGCCAGCATCTCCTCCATCAAACTAATTAAACTAACATCTCCTCCAAGGAAAGTGTAAATATTTCTTATTTATAAAGTGTAAATATTTCTTATTTATAAATTACGTACATTGTTTGTGTGAATAGTGGTGGTGGCTTCTGCTGCCACCTCCATTGCCACTAATACGTACAGCTTCTCTCAGTGGCCCTTATAAACCCAGCACAACCACTACCACCACTTACTCCTCACATATGTTATGATATGTTTTATTCATTCTAGAGTATATATCATATTTCTATGTTATTAATATTGTTTATTATGTCATATTAGATGAACTGTGATAGATAAATAAGCCACAGAGATGATATTAGCATCATATTGAAGCAAAATACACTCGCCTCCCTCTCCTTTCCTACATGTCTGCCATACACCAACAAGAGTCTTCAATAAAGGTAAATGTGATGTTAAATGTTGATTTATCCATTTTATTAGTGCTTTATATTTATTTGTCACTTTTTCGGTATGTAAATCTATATTTAATCTTTAAAAAAAAATATTTTTTCTTAATACTTTTTGGTGTCTGAAACAGATTTATTGGATTTCCATTATTTCTTATGGGGAAAATGGTTTTGCCATTTGTGAATTTCATTATTCAGCAGACACTCTGAAATGGATTAATCACAAAACTCGGGGGTCAACTGTAATACACATTTCCACTTGTTCAGACGTGACAATTCTGCAACGTGTATAATACCTGTTGCTTCATGAGTGGCTCTCTCTGAGATAGAGATGAGACAAGCAGGCAGAGATACACAGAGGCAGAGACAGACAGACAGAGACAGGCAGGCAGACAGACAGATAAGCAGAGACAGAGCAAGACAGACATGTTTATGTGTAATAGTGCGACCAATTAAAAAAGAACACATGCCAAGGTTCACTGTGAACAGTGCACTATCAGTTATATTGAGTGGCTGCACCATCAGCAGTGTAGAGTGACATTCTCGTCTGACACTGTACATGTTCACCTACAAATCTGTTTGTGACTGCTTCATTACTATTTCAGTAACCAATATTAGTGGCAGTACATACATTGGCTTGAAAAATCACTAGAACTACTAAAAATTGCAATTATCAGAACATAAAAATTATGAAAAAAAAAAAAAAAAAAAGATTATGGCAACATTTCTGCAAGCAACAAGACTCCATGTTGCCAGCAGGTGAGCATCCAGTGCAAATTTCACAGCCTTATATCTCAATATGTACTGGGCTAATTTTTTTTTCTTATTACACATAGGAAATTGCCCTCTTCGTTTTAAAAAAACAAAATATATATTTTTTAATCTATTCGGAATGTTAAATGTGAAAACGTAGATCAATGTTTGGACAGTTAAAGGGTTAATGATACATTATCTTATATATATATTTTTTTTTATCATGACAGCCATTTTCCACTGAGGTAGGGTGATCCAAAAAGAAAGAATAACTCAAAAAGAAAGAAAAAACTTTCACCATGGTTCAACACTTTCACCATCATTCATACATAATTACTATCTTTGCTGAGGCACTCAGACATGACAATTTAGAAGTCAATCCAAACTACCAGTATCCCAAACCCCTCCTTTAAAATCCAGGCATTGCACTTCCCACCTCCAGGACTCAAGTCCAGCTATCCGATTTCCCTGAATCCCTTCACAAAATATTATCCTGCTTATGCTCCAACAGCTCGTCAGGTTCCAAAAACCATTTGTCTCCATTTGCTCCTATCTAACATGCTCACGCATACTTGCTGGAGGTCCAAGCCACTCGCCCACAAAACTCCTTTACCCCCTCTCTTCAACCTTTCCTAGGATGACTCCTACCTCACCTTCCTTCCACTACAGATTTATATGCTCTCCAAATCATTCTACCTTGTTCCATTCTCTCTAAATGATCAAACCACCTCAACAGCCCCTCTTCAGCTCTCAGACTAATACTTTTAGTAACTCCACACCTCCTAATAATTTCCACACAACGAATTCTCTGCATAATATTTACACCACACATTGCCCTTAGACATGACATCTCCACTGCCTCCAGCCTTCTCCTTGCTGCAGCATTTACAACCCATGTTTCACACCCATTTAAGAGTGTTGGTACCATTATACTCTCATACATTCCCTTCTTTGCCTCCATAGATAACATTTTTTGTTTCCACAGATACCTCAAATTCTGTCAATTTTTTTTTATGAGGATAGTGTGTAGGAGAGGGAGATTACTTCCTAGTAAAAGTAGGTCTTAGACAGTGATTTGTAATGTCACCATGAGCGTATGGTGGTGCCAACACTTTCATATGTGTTTGAAGCGTGGGTTGTAAATGCTGCAGCAAGGAGGCAGCTGGAGGCAGTGGAGATGTCATGTCTAAGGGCAATGTGTGGTGTAAATATTATGCAGAGAATTTGTAGTGTGGAAATTAGGAGGTTGTGTGGAGTTACTTAAAGTATTAGTCAGAGGGCTGAAGAGGGGTTGTTGAGGTGGTTTGGTCATTTAGAGAGAATGGAACAAAGTATAATGACTGGGAGAGCATATAAATCTGTAGGGGAAGGAAGGTGGGGTACCAGTCATCCCAAAATG